CGTTTGGGCACCTTTGCTTCAGCCTTCTCTTCTGGGTGTCTGCTCAGGAGGACCAGCGAGCATGTGCCCCTTCCTGCTACCTGGGGCCTGAACTCAGACCACTGACGGGGTCACGTGTCAGCCCCAGAACCCCAGGGACACTCTGAAAACAGAAATGGAGGCGAGAGTGGCGCTGGTCTGCGCACACCTGCCAGCCACAGCCACGGGGGATGGCCGGCAAGGTGCCCCGGACCCCAGGGTGAGTGGGCAGGCAGAGGCCGCAGCAAAGACACAGGCTGCAGGCCGCTGCTTGAAGCCCCTGAGGGCGACAAACCCGAATGAACACAGGGGCGCCCTCCGCACCCCACCGTGCTTCGCCCCTTCCCCTGTGAGTGATCACAAGCCCGTGAGAGAAGTATCACTCTTCCTAGTTTCCACCCAGGGCTGTGAGAGCACAATGCTTCCCCAATGTGGCAAAGTCGCCGAGTGTGAATAGGGTGCTGCCGGTGCCCGGACTTGAGACCAGAGCCCCCCGGGACTGCAGAGCACTGGGCACGACTGACGTTCCCAAAAGACCTCAAACGCTGTCTGTCTCAGGGCTTCACACTGCTGGAAATCCACAAGTAAAGGCAGAGGAGAGCACAGCTTTGCAGCGGGGGACAGGCGCAGGGGGGCATCGAATGACAAAGAACACATAACCCAGGAAACACCTTGTGCTGGCTGATCTTCTGTGTCCACCTGGCCGGGCTGCAGGCCCAGGTAGTTCATCAGACATCATTCTGAAGGTTTCTGTGGGGGTGTTTTTTCGATGAGGTTCACCTTTACATCAGTGAACTTTGAGTGAATCAGATTACCCTCCATAATGTGGCTGGGCCTCGTCCAATCAGTTGAAGGCCTGACTAGGACAAAGACTGACTGCACGGAAAAGGAAAGAGCCTGTCAGCAATTGGCCCTGGACTTGAAACACAACATCAGCTCTTCCTTGAGTCTCCAGCCTGCTGGTCGACCCCCTCAGGGGTTTTTTGGACTTGCCAAGGCCCCATAGTCACATGAGCCAATTCCTGAGAATAAAGAAATCGGTTCTGCTTCTCTGGGGACACTGACTGACACACACGCAAACCTGAGTAAGTGATGGGAGGAGGCTGGGGCGCCCCCACTCACCCCCACGGGCATGGGCCCCGGTGGCGTCAGGCCTGGAGCACCGCCGTCGGGGCTCCTGCACCTTCTGACAGAGCCCCCCATGCAAAGCAGTCCTGGACCCAGCCCCTTCCTGAAATTCTGCCACCAGCTGTCACCAAGGATAGGTTGGTGTGATGTGGACCATGTGGCCCAGGACGCTGCAGACAACTGAATAACCCACAGACGCACAGACAAGAGGAGAAACGTATGGAAGTGAAGAAAACCCTGGGTTAAGGCAGCAGCCCAGGCTGCGTCAGGGAAGTGGGGGTGACCTGGGGGGAGTGAGTCGGCCGGGGGGGCCGAGAGGACTGAGGGGGACCTCGTGAGGCAGGACTCGTGGGCACTGCTGGTGGCCCAGGGAAGAGCCCCACAGGCCTCCTGAGGACTATGGGGTCCAGCCATGACTGTCAGGGTCACCCTGAGGCCTGGCTGGCCAAAGGCTGCATGGGTCCCTGTGCTCCTTCCCTCCAAAGACCTGTCATCAGCAAGGCCCATCCCCTGAGCTCACCTGAGCTCACCCGAGCACAGCGAATGGCCTCCCTTCTCTGAGGTAGATGACTGACATGACTGAGGTGACACAGGTAACTTGCCTGTGCAAACCTTGAAAAAAAGTACAAAGAGAGACCTACCAAACAAAGCTCCTGGTTGCTAAGTGGGGTGGGGGGTGGGAGCAGAGCCTAGCGGCCATTTCTGCGCAGGAGCCTCTCACGCAAACCGCACTTCACAGTGTGGCGGGCACCGGACCGCCTGCCTGCACTGTGATCCTGCCAACTGAGCAACCCTCATAAGGGGGTTCCTGGGTCCTGTTTCAACCAGTAGGACTGAGGCTTCGCCCTCCAATCAGAGCTGCACAGCTCTGACCAGTCAGAGCAACTCCATTCTGGTCAGTGAGGACAGTGCCTTTGGGATCAATCAGACTACAAAGATCTGGAGTCCTCATTTGCATGAAGATGGACCAATCAGGGAGCAGGGGGACTTCTGTTTTTTTGTTTTGTTTTGTTTAAGATTTTATTCTTGTTTTATTTATTTGGGAGAGAGGATAAGGGAGGGAGAAAGAGAGGGAGAGATCAATGTGTGGTTGCCTCTCACGCAGCCCCTACTGGGAGCCTGGCCCACAACCCAGGCACGCGCCCTGACTGGGAATTGAACTGGCAACCCTTTGGTTTGCAGGGAAGCACTCAAACTACTGAGCCACACCAGCCAGGGCAGGACCTCTCTTCTCATAAACCAGCCCCCTTCTGGCTCGGGGAGTGTGCTTTCCCGCTCACCAAAGCCTGAGGGCAGCACCTCCCCAGCTGAAACCAAACCCGAGCGTGTCTCCCCAGAGACATGTCTCCCCAGAGCCACGCTGGTTTCCCAGCCCTGCTGTGTCACCACAGTGCTGCCTGCACGGGAAGAAGGAAGAAGCTTCCTTCCTCACCGCACCCCTCACTGGGGACTCCTGCTGGCCTTGAAGTGGCACCAACCACCACTGGTTGGCACCAGAAACCAGTCCGCCCACGTGCAGGGCTGGACTGTCACCGTTCATACTGTCTTCCCTGCACAAGACAGGACAGGCTGAGGAGATGCGCAGAAGGAGGGGTGGGAGCAGCTGGAGCAATGGAGGCCGGCTCCCAGGTCCTGCCCACCACCTTGCTTTTGAGGGACTTGCAATTTAAAATTGAGAGAATGTCAGGGGATCTTCAGCTTGAGCTAAAATTCCGATCATCAGATTGAAGGTTTGTTCTCCGCAGGGGCAAGAGAACCTCCCAGAGGTGGGGGTGATTGTTCACGCAGGCATATTCCGGCTTCAGCAGACCAGTGAAAATACAGAACACCTTCGTTTACAATCTCCAAGGAAGACTGGAGCAAATCTCAGCTGACGAAAATGGAGAGCGAAGTCGGTGGAGATCCCCAAACAGGCCCCCACAAGAACCTCTGGTTGAGGGGGAAGGGGAGGGAATTTCAGGGGAAAAGGGGAAGGAGTCACAGGAACTAGTATAAAGGACACATGGACAACAACTAAAGGGGGTGGAAATGGGAGGGAGGTGGGGAGGGCTGGGGGGTGGGCTGGGATGGGAGTAAAAGACAGAAAACTGTACTTGAACAATTAAATAAATTTTAAAAGAATGTCTGGTTGGCAGAGGGGGAGGGTCATTGTGGGATTTTCGTGTTACAGAAGGACTGAAAGTTATATTTTCATTACTTTTTTGTTGTTCAGTTAGGTTGCCTGCATTTCCTCCCTCCCTTGCTCCCACCCTCCCCCCTTGGTTTTGCCCAGGTGTCCTTCATAGTAGTTCCTGAAAACCCTTCTCCCCACTGTTCCCTCCCCGCTCCCCTCTGGCTATTGTTAGATTGTTCTTCATTTCAATGTCTCTGGTTATATTTTGCTTGCTTTTTCCTTTTGTTGATTATGATCCAGTTAAAGGTGAAATCATCTGGTATTTGTCCCTTACCGCCTGGCTTATGGGACTGGAGGGTTTAAAGGCTGGAGAACAGTAAGTGCGGGCAGCTCTCTGTCCCACCACCAGAGGGCGACGGCGTGTCCCCGCCTGTGGCCAGGCCCTGTCCCGGCAAGGACGGCTTGCTTGCTGTGGAAATTGCTCCTTCTGTGCGCCACCCCAGGAGTGCTGGGTTTTTTACCACCATCCGCACCAAAGAGAAAGCACTAAGGAGAAAACCAGGGAATGCAAGTCCTTAGGAAAACTGAAGCCAAGCGGTACTACCACTCGGACCGGGCTACACCGCCCCACCTCTGCTGCCAACAGGACCCCTGGCTCTGCCCGCCCCCAGCCCTGGCAACCACATCCCCCAGAGCAAAGCTTCCCCAGAGCCCCGCGGTGAAAAGCATTTAATGCGTGCCGACGTCTGCATGCACCGAGCCGCCAATTGTATTTAAAGACCCGTGGTCTCATTTTAATTAGATTCGACACACGTGAAATTACCTTTCAATAAACAGGACCTGGACAAACGTACCACAGAAGAAAAGGAAGCACAGCTCTACCCGCGTTGCTCACCAGGAGCGTGTTAGTGGGCACTGGACACCGACCGCCGTGGGTGTGTCCGGAACGGCTGTCCCTCCCCAGCTGGCGTCACACGGAGGGCGCCAGTGCGACAGTGACTGGCCGGAAGCAAGGCCTGCGACTGACCCCGAGTGACCGCCGACTGCTCCCCAGGAGACTTTTCCTCGTTGCTGGGGCACGTGTCCCAAGGGGGCTGAGGAGGATACTGCAGGCAGGGGACACTGCGTGTGTAAAGACTCCTGTGCTTTGTCTCAATAACGGGCTCACGGGGGTGCCAGGAGAAGCACTGAAACCCAGCAAACCCACAGAGGGGTGACAGGAGAGAAGGGGAAGGGTCAACTCAGGGAACGTGTGTAAAGGGCCCATGGACAGGACGACTGGGTGGGGGGAGGACTGAATGGGGGGGGCAGGGGAGAGTAGTGGGGAGAAAATGGGAACACCTGTAATTGAACAGCAACAATTTTTTTAACAAGCAAGCCATCAGCAAACTCAGCAACTTTCAGGTGAAAGGAAGACAGTGAGGCTGTGGGTTTGGGTCCTGTCTTCAGCCCTTCCTCGAGTCCCCCAGGGGCAGCCCAGCTCCGATTCCCTTCCAACTCTGGGCCTGTGTTTCCGACACACTGGTCTGACGGGAAGGACCTCCCCGTCCGAAGGCTGGCCCTCCATCCCGGCCGCTCAGGGACAGCGCTGCGACAATGCGCGGTTAACTCACGAAGCCTGTCGTCTGTCGTCACCGCCGCCTGTACAGCTCTGCTCTCCTGAGCGTTCCACTGTCCTCTTCCCCCCACCCCACCCCACCCCCGTTCTCACGGCTTCCTGCCCGAGAGCATCATGCCGGTTACACGCACTGCCCACCCCAGGAGAGGGAGCCATTCTGGCTGGTCCGTCGGAAGTCCTAACATATGGCGACCAACTTTGTTTTCTAACCTTCAGAAAAGTCTGGCACCTGTGGGCTGACGTTCCTGACGCTTCCTCTGCAGGATCACGGCACTGTGCACGCCACAGCGGCTGTCTCCGGCCACAGCAGAGTCTCAAATCGCACACGTGACCATCTGGAGATGCCCACGCGGGCCCTTCAGCACCTGCACCCCCAGGGAGGCAGCCTGAGTCTTCCTAAAGGGTGGGGGCCACCCTTCCTTTCTGATGTCACATTTAAGAGACTGAAGAGGAATGCCGTGACAGTCTCCCACTAAGAAAAAGCTAGTTTAACTTTTAAAATATAACAGTATTCACTCCGAAAACTAATATCAAGTTGGCTCTTTTCTCCAATGGCTCTGAGGTAAAAAACACATACCTTGTAGACAAGATCCCAGAAGTCGGGGCTATTTTTTCATTAAATAAGGTTTTGGGAAGCTTCCCCGGCTGGTCATCTGGTTTTCTTTCTTCAATAACAAGATTTTGAACCATCATCACCATTTTGCTTTTCTATCATCCTGTGTGGAATCCAGCCGACACTGTTCTTGGCTAAGCTGAGCCTCCTAAATTGCTCTTACATTTGTCCGCACAGAAACATGGGCAGTGAGCTTCACCGTCATCTCTCAGGTGCACTGAATGCCTGGCCCTGTGGCCAAAAACGTGTGTCCCTGAACATGGACCACAGAACACAGACCATCAAACATGGGAGTTCACTGGGGCTGGACTGGGGCAAATGGGGGGCACTAAGGGGGTGTCCCCTGGCTGGCTCAGCCCAGATCACAGAACCCTCCCCACTCCCCAGAGTCACGGCCTCCTTGTTGCCACCCCTTCCCAAACCTCACATGGGCTCCCCACACTGACAAAGTCCCACTCAGGCCCACACGTGAAGGGCACGTGTGTGGTGGTGCAGGCGCCCCAAGTGGCCAGTGCCCTGCTCATGTGGAGCAGATTAAAAAAACACGCCTTGCAACACCTAAAAGTTGTGTCTGGCTTTTTAAGAGGGATATAGAGCTCGTTCCTAAAACCAGGAAAGCCTGCGCATTGTCCCAGCAGCAGGCTGATCTCCCTCCAAACAACTCGCCGTGGGGTTGGCGTGTGGAACCCGGTTGTTGACCTGAACTTACAGGGAACGTCATGCACCTCACCTCCCAGGGCCTTTATCTCGCTCGGTGGTGGCCAGACCTTGTCTACCACCCCTGCCACCTACAGGGTTCAGCTGTCCCAGGGCTGAAGTCCCAGCCGCAGCACAGCCTGGCACTCACCAGGGGCTCGGCGACTATTTTCAGAATGAGTCAGAGGAAAGAAATCCATGCACTGTCAGAGGCTCCGGGACTGGGCCTCTGATAAGATCTGCCCACACCACGCCCCACAGCTCCCACAGGTTGTTAGTGAGCCCTCGGCCCTGGAACCAAGGCGTGCCACCGCCCAGACGCAGACAACAAGGCCCTAACACGTGGGACAGGAGAGTGAGTTACATTATTCTCCCCCTGGGTTTCTCCGCCTCCGCACTGTCGACCCTGCGGGCCAGCAGTCCTTTGTCATGGGGGTGACCCGTGCCCTGCAGGACTCTCGGCAGCATCCGAGGCCTCTGGGTACTAGCTGCCGGTGACACCTCCAGACATGGTGACAAGAATGTCTCCGGAACTGGCCCGATGTCCCCTGAGAGCACGACAGACCCCCGCTGAAAACCGCTGTGCTAACCCAGGATAAGAAGGCAGAGTCCAGTACTCAGAAAGGAGCGCTGGACGCTGACGTGTAGAGTGCCCAGCCAGCAGGACACATCCCGCAACCGGGGCGACCTCCCCAGAGAGTGAAAACAGGCACCGTGGGGAGGGCTTTGCCAGAGTTACCTGGTTACTCTGTCTGCCACCCACACTGTGGCATCTCACCTTCAAGATGAGGAGGCTCAGGGGCAGCCAGCCCCCAGGGTGTAGACCTGGGAGGCGCTGGGCAGCCGGCTCCTGCTTTCGTCCTGGCCCCCGGTCTGCACCCACAGGTTCCTGCAATCAGCGAGTTTCTGCAGCTGAACCAGAAAAACACCCGGTGAGGCACGGAAGTGAATGGAGGGAAGTCCCCTCCACCTGCCCTTCTGAAAACTGAGTTCTTCCCTCAGCGTAGGGAGTGTTGGCTACCCCCTGGGAGGTCCTGTCTCCTCCACAGACTGCTAAAATGATGATAGTTCCCGCTCCGACCAAAACAGGGAAATAAACAAACCTTCACCTACGGGAGAGACTTCCCGTCCACTGATGTGATGACCACCCACCCCAATGGGCCATCCCAGGGCCTCAAATGCTGCATTACGTGAGACCCCCGGTTGAATGACCATAATATACACCTACACTTATGGACAATTTAGCGCCTATAGATCCAATAAAAATATAGTTGGACAGGATGAAGGGGGCATGGACTTCGTAGACAAACAGCCCCCGCCTGAGTCCTAGCCCCACTGTGTCCCCCCGGGCCTGGGAGACACCGTTTCACAGCTCCAGACCACCCAGGTGTAGCTGGACGGGGCCACCTGCTCCGCTGGGTTGTTGTGAGGTGTCTGCAAAAGCAGGTGGCACAGTACTGGGAGGACATGGAGAAACTGGAACCTTGTGGACTCTTGGTGGTGAACCTGAGCATCCTTATGACTTCAGACATGGTTTTAAATCCTCACTCTGGAAATCATGTTCCTCTGTCTATTCCCCCCAGAGCCCCATCCCCTCTCTCCAACACCAGCAACCCCCGAGGCAGCCAGAGAAGGTCCCCGACCTGGCTAATGGTCACAGGATCCGACCTCCAGCAGACTAAAGGTCACATCGCGACATGAGTGATGTGTCAGTTCCTGGTCTCTACAGTGGAACGACCCCCCCCCCCGCTACGTGCCCAGAGACGGGACAGAGAGACACCAGTGCAGACCTCAGCACTGTCCCCAAGATCTGGAGAAATGATACACCTTCACCTCACCTCCCATCTACCAGACCCAGCAGGACCCCCACCCCCAACCCACAGTGTCTGTGACTTTGTCCCATGTAATCTGTAACCTACAGGCCACTGCAGAGTTCAGGCTTTGGGGTGTTAGCTTCCCATTGTCCGGGATGGAGCCGTTCAACAGTAAAATGGCCAGTATTTCTCCACCGCAGGTCTTGGTGTTCGCGCCTGGCTCTCCCCGCACTGGGCCCTCCCTGTTCTAGAACAGTGGAAACAGCGTGGCTCAGCTGCTGTGGAAACCAGTGTGAAGGTGCCTCAAAACGTTCAATGTGGAGTTGCCGGACGGTCCAGCAGCTCCACTTCCGGACAGGCACCCAAAATCATTGACAGCAGGCTCATGAACAAGTATTTACAGACACATGGTCATAGCCCCACTAGGATTCCCAAAGTCCAAAGCAACCCAAGTCTCCATCGGAGGGTGAGTGGGCAAACGTGAGTCTTTTTCCGAAACTTCCTCAGCCGATCAGTAAGAACGAGATCTCTCAGGAGAGGACACAGGCGTAAGTTCTACAAACCTGCTGTCTGCCCTGTGCCCCGCAGGCTGATGAGCTGTATATTTCATCAAAGCAGCGTCTGTTTAGACACGCTAGCTGGGGCTTTTGAGGACTGCCCCCTCGTCTCTTTGTGTGGCTGTGGCAGCTTTCGGGGGACTTTGTCATTAACGTGGGCTCTTCGCCCTCTGAAAGTTCCCAGGTTTGTAGCTAGTTATGCAACACAGTGAACTGCTCACCATTTCTGGCTCTCGTGTAATTCTAGCCTGCACTTACCCACGGCCTTCAGGCTGGCAGCCCCTGCTACAGACAGACATGCCCATTACGGCAACGCTGGTTGAGGCTTGGGTTTTGGCAAGAACAGTCCCTTGTCAGAAGGTGCCTCTCCCCAAGAAGTGAGGAACTATATACAAGACTGTGTAATACTGACTGTTTATCAAAGGTGTGCAGGACCCTCAAAGCCGGATACAGATCAGCACCGCGAGAGAAAAGAGGAACTCACCCAAATCTGCATTAAGTGAATTGCAGGAAGAGTCTGACAGCGAGTCCTTGCCTTGGTTCTTCGGCCTCAAGAGGCCTTTGAGAAATTCAGTCTGGAGATTCCCTGTGAAAAATTCAGACAAAATAGATTTGAAGGAGCCTATGTGGTTAGTTACTGTTCTGGCTGCTCCGGTGTAGACAACATGCCAGGTTTCTAGAAGCTAGACTTACTCTGCAAATTAATTAATTTGCCTATTTTTGGTAAACAGTGAGTTATTTTAGGGAGGAAAGTGAAGCTTTAATCATCTAAGCCCACCTTGGTGGATATTAGATTCCAGTGCTATTCGCTGTCCTTTGAAGTTTTGCTCCTACCTGGACTGGACTGGGTCCGGATTCTTCCCATTTCCCCTCCCCCCAACCCCAGTGTCAGGCTGGCTCTCCAAACCAGCATGTCCAGTGCCACTCCCATCCTGTGACCTGGAGTCGTTGGAAGCTAAAGCTGCCTTCTCCCAAAGCCACACAAGCCGAAGGGGGACAACTTGATGGACCCCTCAGAGGAGGCACCACACCCTCACCTGTGGGTGGTCTTCAGGTCTGCTGCAGAGACCCTGGGGACACTCTGGCTGCACACCGGTGAGGGGCCCCCGGTGGCCTTCGCTGCACCTGAGGAGGCTGTGAGCCAGGCATCCAGAGCTCTCCCTGCCCGCCTGGTTGCAGGGCTCAGCAACAGGAGCAGGGTCTCCTCCAGCCGTTAGCCGTCCTGTCTTGTCCCCTTAGAGACAGATGCCTCTTACCGAACATGCCATCGCTCGCTCCAAGGCCTCACTCTGGGGCCGCCTGTGTGACTGAGAGACAGCAGGTTAAGTGCACTGAGCAGTCCTCAGGACTGGGCCCAGGTCTGAAACAGATCACAATCATAAGGCCTTAATTGGTCCTTTCCTGATGCTTCACCTGGAAGATGAGCACAAACACGGAGCCAGTTGTCAGACCCGCCGATGCAAACATGTCCCTAGCCCATGTCCCCTGTCCCAGGGCCGTGCAGGGCCCAGGGGAGGCTCTGCCCCCACCCTGGCAACAAGAGACATTAAAAGGTTTGGTTTGATCTGTGATGTTTCCTGAAAGACAAGTCCTGATCACGGGGGGGATGGGGGAAGGGAAGACAGGGAACACATGACTGAACACGCATGAACCGCGCTGCTGTAATTGGTGACATTTTGACGGTTAAGTGTGAGGAAGAAATTCTATTCTTACTGTAACTGGCCTGGGAAATCAAAGGCTTGAACTTTCCCAACCTACGTCAATGCCCAGATAATGCATCAGTTCACCGTGTGACACCAGACCTCCAGATGACCCTCGGATTACCCCCAAAGGACTCACATTGCCAGGACACCTGACACCCATTATCCAGGTAGGTCATCAAACGTGACCAAAGCTCCTGGCATCCTCCACCCAGGCTCCTTTTAAGTTCATGCTACAAGTCCAAAATGGCAGAAGGGCTGCCTGGGGATGCAAAACCCTGCCTTAGAGCGAAAGGGTTCATGTCTCCACAGTGGCCCCGGAACCCTCCTCTAGACACGTCCCTCTGGGCCAGCCCCCCCAACTGGCAGTGCCCTCACAGATGTGGGCTGGCCAGGACTGTGGGCTTGGCCAGCTGGAGGTGGTGAGACCGGGGGAAGGAACAGGATGACTCAAGAGAGCAGGGTCCTGCCAGTCTGTCTAGCTTTTTCTGGAAGCACACACTCTGAGGACTAAAGAAGTCCTCAGGCCAGGACAGGAGGGCCACCTGGAGGCTCTGCCCCCAGGTGGAGAAAGATACAGCAGACTCAGGTCACCTTAATCCGGAAAAAAATGTCTGGACAAAAACGCTCCCGGAGCCAGCCTCCCCCCGGGGCACCGGCCCTGCCCTGGGCCCCGAGTGGGGAAGCCGGGCAGTACCCCAGGGGGAGCTGCTGAGGGAGGCCGCCCACAATGCATGCAGGGGGGGCCCACCTCAAAAACTCTCTCCACGACGCATGTCAGCTGGCAAAGCCATTCGTGGAGAAGGTGCTGCCGGAGCACGTGTGTGAGAAAAGAAGAAAAATAGAATGGAAGTGTGTTTTCACATTCACATATGTAAATGCAGAGAAAAAAGCCCAGAACCCAAAGAGAAAGTTACTAAACATTAACAGTACTTACCTCTGGGGAAAAGAAAGGGGTTGGATGGGAGGGTGGTGAACAAAACCCCACCTGTGCTCATTCTGTACACGTTTATTCTGTTTGATTTTTGGCTGTGCACAGCATCATGCGTTATTCTTCATCTTAATGTACAAAAATGACTTTTGATATGCTGGGCTTAGCTGTTTAACTCCGTGTTCGTGGTAGGAAATTCCATGACCGTACGCAAACAGAAAAACCTACAGTAGTATCTGCATTTGATATGTAACCCTATTTGTTTGTGCAGTGGGAATAAACCGAACTTCTCTGAAGCCAGGAGTGGGATCACAGGATTTCCTGAGACCCGCTCCACCTCCCGTCCCCCGTCCCAGGGGGCAGAGCCTTTCGTCCTGAAACAGGGGTGCTCAGAGCCTGGGATAGAACGGGGGCCACAGGCCTCGACTCAGGAGAGCGAAGCTGAGAGTGAGGTGGTGGTGGGAGCCACAGTCGAGTCAGGGGTGGTCCCACCTTCCAGGGGGATGAGGAGGCCCGGTACCTGCACAAGCAACTGAAACACCCTCAGCACTCGCTGGGGGCCACGCTGTGCTCTAACTCGGAAAGAACGTGTCAGTCTCCCAGCAATCGGAGATGGCGGGCACGGTTATCACCACCATTGCACATTCGGAGAAACTGAACCACCAGAAGTAAGCTGCCCCCGGCCGGTTCCTCGGGTGGGTAACAGGATCTTAACCTCCAGAGCCTGCAGGCTCACCCGCTGCACCGCACCACCGGTCCCGTTACCCCGTCAGGCCGGGCGAAGACGGTGCTTGGTGCCTTGTTGGAGACTCCAGCTTGGTTTCCCAGAATGCAGTTAGCTTGGGGCAGCAGCTACTCGGGCGGACTCGTGGGGAGGACACAGCACCTCTCTGTGATTAGAAAGCCTGGCTCAGAGCCAGCATCCGCACTGTGGTGGAAAAGATTCACCGAGGGGTGGAGGCCCAACTCAGAGTTCAGCACCCAGCAGGGCCTTCCACTGGCTTGACAAACAGCAGGGAAGCTGTGTGGGAGGAGGGTACCCGGGGAGGGAGTGAATCCCCCTTTTCCTGCTAACGCGGCTGTTCCTACACCATTCTGAACAAACCGGGCTTGGTGCTGAAGGCTGTTCAAGGAAGTCGGATGTTGAAGTCCACAGGCAGAGGTAGGGTGGGGTTGTGGGGAGGCAGGTGGTCTTGTCCTGGTCCCGGTGCCCAGTTCAGGGGGGCTGGCTGGTCCACAAGCCGTCTGTGGCAGTGTGAGCTCGATGAGTGGACAGCAAACTCCGCCTTCATGTTGCCACCCTGGTGGGAGCGGCAGAAGCCACAGTAGGTAAGATGCGGGAGAGCTCAGAGCACATGGCCTTGGGCGAGTTTCAGTCCTTCTGGGAACGTGTTAAAAAGACAGATCCCTGAGCCCCTGCCTTGGTGATTCTGATTAAGGGGCTGTCGGGCAAAGCAATTCTGATGGGCTGCCCACTTTGGAAACTGGTCTTTCAACAAAAACAAACCATACGGCTCTTCAAAAACAGCAAAGTCACGCCCTGGCTGGTGTAGCTCAGTGGACCGAGTGTGGGCCTGTGAACCAAAGGGGTTGCCAGTCCAATTTTTAGTTGGGGCACATGCCTGGGTTGCAGGCCAGGTTCCCAGTGGAGGACACATGGGAGAGAACCACACACTGATGTTTCTCTTCCTCTCTTCTCCCTCCCTTCCCTTCTCTCTAAAAATAAATAAATAAAATCTTTTTAAAAAAGGAATACCTTAACTAAGATGATACAGAATAAAGATTAAACAAACAACAAAAGAATCTCTTTTTAAAAAATAGCGAAGTCATGACAGACTGAACAGCTGGGAATGTGCTTTCAAAGACTGAAGAGAGACTAGAGCCTTGGCCATGAACCCTGAACCCTGTTTGGATTTGGGGCTTTTAAAAAGTTGTAAAGAAATCTGGGAATAACTAGCAAAAGTTGAATTAGAGCTGCGTATTATTATCCTATCTCTGCTCAACGTCTTAGGTGCAATGAGAGTTGGTTGGGTGTTTTGGGGGGGCGGGAGACGGGGCTGTTTTACGTTCTGGTGGTGGTGGTGGTCCCACAAATCTATACATCTATTCACATTGCAGGACCGTACCCCGGGACGTTCATTTTACTGGGTGACGACTGTGAAATAAAATTTAAAATTACTTTTGAAAACCCATAAAACTCCTCGTTCTTTTACTAGACGGGCATCCGACGGTGGCTTTGCCTGAGTCGCACACGGCCAGGGGCCCTGAGTCAGCCCTGGCCTCCCTCCCGGTCCCAGGTGACTGACAGCTCCAGAATCCTGAAGTGTGAGGTGCCCTCCTTTCTGGAAAATCGGTGGGTGGAACGGGTTACAGCCAGAAGTGATCGGGGGCATTGCTGATGGGAATAGAGAGTTTCCACGGGAAACTGGTTTTTCTTCCTCAGGCTCTGGCCTCTCTCCTGCTCCACACCCAGAAGGGACTGGGCGAGTGAATCATCTTCCCCTTCAGTCGCTGCAATGTCTCCAGCTGCCTTTGTTTTCAACGCTGCTGACACGAAACATCACCCCGGCAGGCATTTAGCGTGGGGCAGAGAAACGCAGGTCCCGTAAATCCAGGAGCTCGGAGAGCCCCACACAAGCTCGGATTCTGAGATTCTGGGAAACAAAGGCTGAGCGGTGGGCAGTGCAGCTCCCCCTGGGCACACGGGACAGTCCAGGCCCCAGTGCTGGGCAAGGTGCCTTTGGGGCGGGGGACCCCAGCGTCCCCTTCGCCTCTTGTCCTGTGACTCCGAACACCTGCCTCCACCCTCCACAGTTAGTTTCTGCACCTGGCGTTTCTGTAAAACATCTGACTGTGTGGGGCTGGGGGAGGGGCGTGGAGGAAGGGTTTGGTGGGCACCGGGCTTTGCCTTGGAAGGATGAGGTGGTCTGCAGAAGGGTGAGCTCCCACCGCTACGCTGCATGTCGAAGACGGCTAAGTTGGGGGATTGTGTTATTTCTGTCTATCTAAACGCAACTCCCAAAAATATATCTAAGTGCAACTCCCCAAAATAAATCATTTTTTCAAAAGCTTTCTATGGCAGCTGGAATACAGACATGCCCAAAATGCATTATCTAAATGAAGGGGTTCCGGCGAGATTGAAAGATGCCCAGACGCGGGAGGGGAGGAAGCGAGCTGCTGGGCCCACCACTCACGCCCCGTCCGGTGTGCTCTGCCCGTCCAGGTGGGTCGCCCAAGGGGATGGGGACAGTGGTGCTCCGTGGTCACACACAGAGCAAAACGAGAGTGGCAGGCACAGGCCCTTCCTGGGCACCTGCCGCAGCCACTTCCAAGGCATGAACACCTTAAATCCACCAAGGCTCTGGCATCGTGACTGCTTCTCTGTCCTGCTTCACAGAAGGGCAGCTAAATGCCAGGTCCAAGTCGACCCTCCTAGGTGAAGCACGGGACTGAAATCCAGGCCCCGTGACTCAGGGGCTGATTCGGCTCCGTGGGTGGCCTCTCCGAGGGCTGGGGGCAGGATGCCAGCACAGGCGCGAAAGTCCCCGTGTGGTACCCGGCGTGAAGGGTGCTCGGTCGGCCTGTGCTCCTCATTCTCCTCCGTCCAGGCACGGAGGAGCCAACTGCAGCAGACAGAACTGAGACGGACTCAGGAGAACACCCGACTGGGACCTGGAACTGGCTCAAGCCCACAGTGAAAGGAATGTGTCTCCTTTGAACTTCAGCAGGTGGGGGGCCCTGACAGGTGCTGCCAGTACTGCCCTCCCCACACCTTCGCCCTCCACTGCACCCAGGTCTCACGCCCCAGTGAACACCCGACCCAAAGCAGCTCTTGCCTCTGGGCAGCACCAGCCATGTGGCCAGGGAGACGCGACCTAGAGACCAGCCGGCCAAGGACGCGACCTAGACGGATGGCCGTCAAGGTCTGGTGCAAGCGAGAGAACAAGGAGAAGTGTTGGAAATCACGCTGTTGTCAGGCCTCAAAACAGAGCATGAACCTAACGAATCGAGTGAAAGTGCGCTGGGTGGATGCAGGCAAGATTTCCTCACCGCCTGCCCCTCGGGGCCCCCTGCCCGTTCCTGGAGGCAAATGCCCTTCACAAGGGGTGTGTCCCCCTTAGCCTCTTCCCCTTTCTCTGCACCACATACGCCAGTGTGCACACACATTTAGCCTGTGATGAGGGACTGGCCCCTGCTGTCCCATTGCAAAATGTGTGACTGGTCACCGCTCTCTGGAAAGTGGCACAGCGTCAGGGGGCTGCCCTCCGGGTGGGCCCTGCGGCCTGGCATGGGCTCTCAGATGCACCAGTGCAGTGTGCTGCAGACACAGACAGGAGTGGCAACCTCCAGCTTCCAGAGCAGGGAGGTCACCCAGCTTCCGGGAGGGGCTGGCAGGAGCGGTAGCTGCCGGGATGGAAGCCCAGCAGCAATGGCATCCATGAGGACATGAAGGGCCACCCCAACGTGCGGACAGCACAGGTCTCTCTCAGCTGCGGCCTCTGTAACCAGCGCACCACGCCTGGCGGCTTCCCGGCTGCCAGGGCTTTCTCACAGCTCTGGGAGCTGGAGGCCCCAGGGTGGTGCCGGCGGACTGATGTGGGGCGAGAGCCTCTTCCTCTCCGGCAGACGGCACCTCCTCCCACGGCTGAGAAGCACCCTCTCTTCCCTTCTACAGCCCTGAGGGCTCAGGCCCCACCCTCGGGACCTCGGGGAGGCTTAATCACCTCCGCTAGGGCCCCATCTCCAAATCCAGGCACATCAGGCCATTGACAGTGGAAAGAATGAGATTCTAACCCCGCAGGTCTGGGAGGCTCACCCCGGGTCGGAACACGGGCCCCCTGACTTCTAGGGGCCACGCTCAGAGCCCAGGAACTGGGAAACTAGTTGGGGACTTCCTGGGAACACAGGACTAGTAGGAGAAAAGAAAAGCTGGGTATAAAAATATGCCCCAGGTCACGGGTCACCCAGGAAGTGCCAATCAAAACAGCCAGGAGACCAAACCACACGCCTATCAGAGTGGCCAAAACACAGACTCGGACAGCCCCACATGCTGGTGAGGATGGGGAACAGTAAGAAGTCTCGTTTATTGCTGCTGGGAATGGTGCCCCCCGTTTAGAAGACAGTCGGGCAGTTCCTTCCGAAAGTAAACGTGCTGTGAGGGTCTGATCCAACAATCGTGCCCCTTGGCATTTGCCCGAAGGAGCTGAAACCCGGGTCCACACAAGCACCCGAGTGGTTGTTCGCAGCAGCTTTATTCTTCATTGCCCCGATTTGGAAGCGATGAAGATGCCCTTCAGTAGCTGAATGGGTAAACCAACAGTGGCTCATCCACACAGTGAATTATTCTCAGCGCTACCGTGTCACGGAAGGTGAAGAAGGAACCTTAAATGCACATCACAGAGCAAAAGACAACCAACTGAGAAGGTGTGATTCCAGCTCCGTGACATCCTGGAAAAGACGACGCTGTGGAGACAGTGACAGATCAGCGGTTGCCGAGGGGTGTGGGTGGCAGGGAGGGGTGAGCAGGCAGAGCGCAGAGGGTTTCGAGGGCAGTGGATCTGCTCTGTGTGACACGGTGATGGTGGACACATGTCACCATGTGCTTCTCCAAACCCAGAGAACGTGCCACACAGAGTGACCCAGATGTCAGCGGTGGGCTCTGAATGACAATGCCGTGTCCGTGCGAGTTGGTCAGTGGTGACAAATGTCCCGTGTGGTGGGAGATGTTGATGGTGGGGGGCGGGGACAGGAGGTATATGGAAAAATCTCGGTACCTTCCCCTAAATTTTGCTGCACATCGAAAACTGCCTCTAAAAAAATAAAGTCTCGATAAAATTTAAGTGATAGAAGTGGCTTGTAGTTGAAAACTGATTTGAGAGACATATTAATTTAAAAAGAAGGACGAGAGGGCGGCAGGAAAGGAAGGGAAGAGAGAGACTGGCAGGCAGGCTGGTGCTGGCCGCTCCCGGACAAAGGGCCGCAGCAGCGGCAGGGATGGAGAAAGCAGCCGCAGCCCAGGGCAGCTGCTTCGAGGCAGGACACAGCTGGCTGTCTGCACTGGGAAGAGGAGAAGTTTGAGCCCCGGAAACGCAGGTCAGCTACGGAGTCTGACTCAGGCTCCCGGTGGGCGGCACCTGGCTGTCGGCTGTCCAGAGGCCACTTCTGGTTCTCTCCGGGCCTTTCCACTGAGGGGCCTCCATAGGGTCTGCCCTTTCCAGGAACCTCATCAGAACTGCCCAGCGAGGGGGAAAAAGGAAAGATAGAGCTGCAGGGGGAGCCAGCTCCAGGTTTCTGAGCTGCACACTAAGTCTGGCGGAAGGAGTTGGGGGTGAGAGTCGGGGGACAGGATGAAAGACAGTGAAAGGATTAACCAGAGAACACATATGCACAGCCTGTGGACACGGACCAGGACGGGCTTGGGGTGGGGAGAGGGTGGGGCCGGGTGAAGGAGAGGAAGGAAGGGGGGAAAACCAGGAAGGACTGTCACAGCTTAAACAATCACAAAAAACAAATAAATCCAGCTGCGGCTGGTTGAGACTCGCAGACGGCTGGGGGCCGGGGTGGGGGGTGGAGGGAAGGACACGGGGGGTCACTTATCAGAGTTCCCCTCCGAGGATTGCGACAGCAGCCGCGTGATTGTGCAACCCTCTAGCCTTATAAACAGCAGGTGCTGCAGCCTGGGGAAGCTGTCAGCTCAGCCTCCAAGGAGCCGCGCCTCCTCCTGACGTCCCGGCCCAGCCTGGCAGCCACCATGAAGGTTTTGTACCTGCTGCTGCTGTCTCTCTGCCTCCTCTTCTCCCAGATAGCCCCAGGTGAGCTCGGGGACAGGTGTGCCGGGGCTATGGGAACTGTGGGGACCGCTGGCCGGTGCACCCCGAGGGTGCAGCAGCCAGACGCACCCCCAGGGCTGAGGGGGCCGAGTGTCTGTGGTGAAGCCTGCTGAGACTCGGGTCTGCGCAGTCCCCCGACAGGCTGGGAAGGAGCCTGTGGGGAGCATATGCTGGCTTTTTGTCCCGACACCCTGGGGCCACCCAGCTGCAGGACTGGCAGGCTCGTGCCTTGCTGCCCGACCATCCCGAGGGCTCCATGCTCTCCGCACTTGGCAGGCACATGGGGTCAGGCCCAGGCAGCCGCCAGCACCTCCCAGCCCCCGCAGGCTTTGGGCATCTAGCAGACACCCTGTTGGGGGGTCGCCTACTCCACCTGCAAGGCAGCCCCTCACACAGGGCAGCCAGCTTCCTTTTCAGCTGACAAGGTGTAGGCTGCCAGCCCTGGGTCACCGGGTGGGGCCTCCCAGGTGCCCTGCTGCAAGCAGGTGCCACCGGCCCCTCCCACAGGGCCAGCTCCCTTGTGCCTTTGACTCACCTGTGTGCAGGTGCTCAAGGCCCACAGGCGGTCTGAGACCCTCCTTCAGGAGTCTGCTCTTCGGGCTGGGACATCTTCCCAGGGCGTGCTCTCAGTCCGGCCAGCCTCCCCCAGCCCCTCTGGGTCAAAGCAGCCAAGTCCCTGATGTAACAGAAGGCGGGGCCTTCGGGAAGAATCGGGGAACATGTTTCACCCCAGCCCTGGCGCTCACTCCCTCTGGGCCTTGAGCAAGTCCCACCTTCTGGGTGTCCGTTCCCTCCCCTGAGAAGAGCGGCAGCTGCCTCCTAAGCACCCCAGCTCTGAATTGCTCCCACAGGTTCAAATGTGCTCTTCTCCAGGGCTTCACCTGAGCAGACAGATAAGCCTCAGTTTCCCCATCTGAAAACAGGAATGAAAGTATTCTAATGCAGCAGTTTTAGTGTTGGCGGCTGGACCCATTAGAGATCTGTAGACATCAACTTAGCTGCAGCCAGGTTTTCTCGAAAGAGCTTCTACTCTGTTCTGCCGGGCGTGTAAGTGTGCGTGCTGTTCTCGGATGTGCTGCTCTGGGTTGTGTGTGCATGCGTGTGCGCACCAAGTAGCCATGCACCCTCGGAAAGTTGGAATGCCTCTTTGTGAACAGGAAGAGTTCTTTTCCTCTCTATCGTCTAAATAGGGTTATGAGCATCCCATTCTAGGCATAGGAGGTACAAGTGTTTGCAAGGACACGCAGGAGCAGCCGAACTGGCTGATCATTCATTGAAAAAACACTAGCTGACCCTGGGGAGCGCTTAGTAAATGTGGGGTGAGCTCGGGTACCCCTGGGGTTGGGGGCGGCTGTGCCCTCTGCTTTCACAGCGCATCTGCCCAACCTACCCGGCCAGGGGTTCTCTGTGTGGGGACCAGGACGCCTCAGGAAGGCAAGTCTCTTGTGGGGGGTGGCTGTTCTGGAAGGGGGAGAGCTGTGCCCACTCCACCCCTGGGCTGAGGCTGGTAAGTGGGGGGACTCGGATCAGCTCGGCAGCTCCGCAGGCCAGACATCACCCACGTTAGGTCACTGCTGCTGTGCGGGGTGTTCGGGGCGTGAGCTTGGCCACAGGAAAGGCCGTCGGTAACACAAATATCGTGCATCGGGATTTTCCATGTTTTCTGGACATGGTTGTCGTGGGGCGGGGGGACGAGGATCGCTGTCCCCCCCAACCCATCTTCTGCCATGGGACTCCCACAGGGTCTCTGCCTTACTTTGGGGGCTCCGGCTTAGGGTGTCTGCTGCAGCTGTCACTGCCACGGCCACAGTTGTGTGGTTGCTCTGGTGGCTGCTGCCCACTGGCTAAGCGGACTGCTGTGTGAGGTCAGCAAGATCCCAGGTCCAAGTTCAGGGCAGGGGATGGGGGGTGCTGGCCCAGGTCTGCTGGCTCCCACCTCACCCCCTCACTCGCCTGAGCCCTTGCATGGGACTGGTCCACTTCATTTCTGGAAGGGCCCTTAGAGCTCATTAGGCCGACTTAGTTGGTTCACGGGCGGGGAAACCGAGGCACACAGGAGCCGGGGTGGACGAGAGTCATGAGGCCACCACAAGAAATCCTGATACTCCCCGCTGGCAGTTTTCATCTCTGACAAGAGTCGCCCACACCTGTCTCCTGCCAACAGTCTTCCCGTGAGGACGGGAGATGTCAGAACGGCCCCGTGACTCAGGTCCCCAGGTCAACAAGTCAAGAGCCCCACCGCCGAGGTGTTGGGAAATCAGGATGGTTGGAGGCAGTCCACTCAGTGCTCCTGCAGACATTTACCGTATTTTTAGGACCATAAGACGCACCTAGGTTTCAGAAGAGGAAAAAAATTTTTGAAGCAAAAAATGTGGTAAAATATTTAATGACCTGTGGGCCCGCTCCATTGCCGCCCGCTCCTGCCACAGAAAGCCAGGGAAGCTACATTCTGACTGCACCCCCCTTTTCCTCCCAAATGTGGGGGGAAGTGCATCTTATAGTCCGAAAAATACAGTAGTTCACAGCTCCTGTGCCTGGGACTGGGGAGAGTGAGGGACACAGCCCTTGTGAGTTGAATTCTAGGAGCAGAGCCGGGCGAGAAACCCACATATATAACAAATACCTCCCTACGATGGTGCTGGGTGTCGGCAAGGGCAGGGTGCAGAGGGCAGGTGTGACCGGGGGGACGTGACCCGGACGCGAGGGGCCAGGGGGCTTCTTGGGGAAGCTGAGGAATGAAGGGAAAATGGGAGTTGCTTGGGTGTTCGTGGTATTTTAAGAAAATAACAGTTAACTCCTTCTTAGCATTTAAAATCAGAAAATGTCACAGAAAACTTTGATTTTATGTTCCCTTACAAACACATAGAAGGTCGCCACAGTGAGCTGCCGTGGACTAGTGGCCGCTGCTCCAGATGGCTTGCGCCCCGCTCGCCCGGGCCCCACTGCCCCCACCGCCTCTCCCCAGCCCACCTCACAGATTTATGGCGGCTGCCGACCGACCACTGTGGGTAACGAAGGTCACAGCCCTGAATTAGATGAGTGACAGACACAGGCTGCGGGGGAACAGGGACAATCCAGACAGAAAGGGCAACAGATGGGAAAGACCAGAGATGACGAGGAATAAAAACAATAGCTCTCACTTTTAACGCACACCTCACAGCGCCCCGACAGAGGAGGAGCGACCCCTACCCCCACTTTGTGGATGAATACCTTGGCCCAAGTCACATGACTGGTCACAAGTGAGCAGGGACTGAGGCCGGGGCGTCCACTCCCATGTTGGCCTGCCTGCCTCTCCGGCCCTGAGTGCGCCGGGAGCCCAGCAGAGTCATGGGGCCAGACCTGGGGCAGACCAGGCGAGGCCTCAGGTGACCCCCGGGTTCGGGTGAGCCCCAGAAGGTTTACACGCTGGGAGCATGACAGAAGCAGAGATGGTGTAAGAGGCTGCTTGGAAGCTGAGTAGATGAGAGCATGGGGGGGGGGTGGCAAGGACAGCCCTCCCCTAAACAGAGCCGTGCCCCTCCAGCGGTGCTTCTCCCCAGGTGACCTGCAGCTCAGCCAGCCGTTCCAAATTAGCCAGACCCTCGGTAAAGCACCTGTCACCCCCCACGCTCTTCTCTTCTTCCCCGGGACCACTGCCTGCATCCCTGGGAGTCTGGGCCTCAGTTTCCTCACCTGGAAAACGAGAGCATTCAGCAAAATGACTCCCGGCTCCGATATTCCGTGACCCCCCATCTCCACCCGCCGGCCCACACCTGAGCGTCTTGCTCTGCCATCCCCGCCCCAGCCCACTGGGCCTGTCAGGCCTCCGGTGACAGCTGGCAGGAGCGTGCCTGCCGTGTGGCCTCTGAACCCCCGGGAAGAACACGCTCCCACGGCCTGTCTCAGGCCCACAGAGGAAGCCGATTCGCCACACGTGGGGAAGGAAGGGTCCGTACCCACACCAGACACAGCACACCCCTGTGGGGGTCATCTCACTGGGGGTCCCCAGCATCTCCACTGGCCGGGGACTCCTCTGAGCGGTCGTCCCCATTTTAGGTTTTATCCCCATGTCATAGACTAGTTTTTAATCGTGAATCTCAGAGAATTGGTGACTCTTCAAATACCCGGCCAGCAAACACGCAAACCCGGCCCTCACTCTGAATGCCACATTCTGCCCTGTCACTTCCCAAGGCCCTCTGGATACACCACGGGGCCCACAGAGTTTTGACAGGGACAACTCAGACAGGAATACAAGCTTTCAAGCTTTTGTGAACTTAGCAAGAAGCGTTGCTGACTACCAGCAACCAGCAAGAGGTACAGTGGACGAGGACTTCATGGGCTACTCGTCGGCAGGGAGGGCCTCGGACCTGCATTATGACCTGCTTTGTAGGTTTGATTTCTGTCCCCACAGAGTTTAATGGAGTCATAGGAATGCACGGTGACCCTCCCTGGCCTCTGCTGCATGCTGGGACAGCAGGGCCCCTAAGTTGGCCAGCAGCCTCTACCTCGATGACCACAGTGCGAGGGGACCACACTGGAGGGCAGTCCTTCCCCCACCTTGTCCTGAGGAGGGACAGAGGCTCAGCTGACTTGCTAAGTAAGGCCCATGGGGCTCTGACAAGCTGACGCCTCACCTCTGAGTAGCCCCAGTCCATGGGGGGTCCGCCGAGGGGTGGACCCTGCAGCAGGCACTGCAAACATCCGGCCTGAGCGCTTCGCTCCTGTGCACCTGCCCCTGGGTCTGCTGCCCCCACGGGCCCCTCGATGGGTCACGTCGGCCCTGTCCCAGCCCTCACCCCCTCCTGGGAGGAGACAGGGGCGTGGGTCCTGGCAGTGGTTGACTTTGGCCTCCTCTTCCCGAACACACACGTCATCTACGCTATTCGCTCCCGCCTCGGCCCACTGTCTTTAGGGGCAAGACACTTGTGAGTTAGTCAATGGCTGTCCAACCGCCCCTTCTCGCATTGTTCCCTGCGGTCCCATTGTTCCCGTTGTGTAATAGAGAGCGGCCGCCCTTGACCTCGGGACGGCAGCCTGGTCCCACGCTCCTCCCCTCCCTGGCTCACCCTCTGAAAGGCTCTCTCTTTCTCCTGCCTCTTTTCTGTCGAGTCCAAAGAGCACGCTCTGTGTTTCCAATGCATCTTCTTGGCCGTCTCTCTCACTGCTTAGACCCTGGGCCGCCACCCCCGACCTGTGCAGGCCATGGTTGAGCTCAGTGGCACCAAAAGGGGACGGGTCCACCTCCCCGAACACTCGTTTTCTGGTGGCCCTAAAATGCGGCCCTGCGCTCCCTGCCATAGCCCCTCTTCCCGCCTCTCGTTTTCACCCCGACTGGCCCACTGACTGGCACACGTTTCCCAGTTGGTTTCCTGCTGCTTCATCCCAGCTACTTCCAGTCGCCCAACACACATTCTTGTGCTAGCCTAGAAGAACAGCTGCACCTGGGCAGGAATTTTTTCCCCACCTTGGCAAGACTGTTGACTGGCCTCATTAACATGTACTGGGAAGAGTCACTCTTCTAGCTGCATAGAAGCTTGGACGTCTTTTGTGAAGGGCCTGTAGTCTCCTGCCCATATTCCCCATCAGAGATCTGTCTTTTCATAATGGTTTGTGGGAGTTCTGTACACAGTGCGGCACAAGCCCTTCATCAGTTACGCGCATTCTGAACAGCTTCTGGCTTGAGCCTCAATTCTCGCTGTCTTAATGGAAACTCTCCTTAGGGGTTTGTACCACTATTTTTGTGAGGCTCATCGATGTGTCATGGCTTCTGCCTTAGGGTCCAGGTTCTTTTTTTAACCCAGAGGCATGAAGAAAATCTTCAGTACTGCCTTCTGGGGGCTTATTGTCCTGTCCTTTACACGTAGGCTGATAAAGGGGTGTGCGTGTGTGTGTGTGTGTGTGTGCACGGTCTGGTGAGGGGGAAAGCAGTTTTTTCACTGTGAACATCCAGCTGTCCCAGAGCCAGCCCTGGAGAGGACCGCTGCCCCCGCCGCTCCGCTGAGCCACCGTCACTGTCCCGCAGCTCCCCACGCGTGCCTGGGTCTCGCTCTGCGTGTCCTGTCCTGCCCCCCTCTCTATGAGTCGTCCTGGTGCCTTCGCCACACGGTCTGATTGCCGTGGCTCTATAATTAGTCTTGAAATCCAGTAAGGCAAGTCCTGCTCCCTTCTTCTCCGAGAGTGTCTTGGTTATTCTTGGCCCTTCGCCTTTCCATATAAGTTTTCATCTCGCTCGGCAAGTTTCACTGAAAGTCTCATAGGATTTTCACAGCATTGGGTCAAATCTGTAGATTGATTTGAGGAACATTAACATTTTAAGAGTAATTAGTCTTCCAATGCTTAAACAGCATTTTCACTCATTTAGGTCTTTTTTTAACAAAAATATCTTATTCCCTATAGAGAAAGGTGTTGCACATATTTTCTTGGATGTGTAAGTAGAAATTGGATATTTTGTGCTTTTCTAGATGGTGTTTTATTGTAGTTTTATTTTTTCTATTGGTTACTAGCATACAGAATTTTTCTTTTTTTTGTTTGTTGATCTCATACAGCAAACTTGCTCAATTTGCTTATTAATTCCTTTTGGACTATCTTACATATCATTGTAATACCTGCAAATACTGAGGATTTTATTTCCTCCTTTACAACACCTATCCACTTTATTGATTTATTGTTTATCTTATTCCCCTGGCCAGTACCTCAAGTGCAGTGTGGAATGCATGATGAAGGCAGCTGTGCTGGTCTTGTGGATAAAAAACTCATCATAAGTCAGTGTTGAATTTTCTCCAGCATTTTTCTGCATCTATGGAGAAAACCATATGCTTTTCCCCCTGTATTCTTAATGGGCATCGACTGATTTTCAAATGTCAAATGAAACAGTCAGGTGGGAAATGAAACCTGAACCTGGTTTTATGCTGTTTGCGGATAATTTATTCAGGGCTTTTGCCTTAGCTGATCAGGGAGGCTGACCTGTGATTCTCCCTTCCTTTCCTGTTCTGACTAGTTCTGTTAGATATTTGTGTGCAGACCATGCTGACGCCACATGATGAACTGGTGAGTATTCTCCCTCTTCTGTTCTGAGGAACAGTTGGAATAGGCACTATTCCTTGTCTGTGCCCTGGTAGGATTTGCCGACGAAGCCAGCTTGGCCCGGGGCGCGATTTCTGGACTCGATTTCTTGGACAGTCATGGGAGCTACTTAGACTTTGTCATTCTCATTTGCTTGTTTTAGTAAGTTGTATTTTTTTTTTGCGAACTCCTCTATCTCAACAAAACTTTCAAGTTGGTACAAGTGAATATTCTTTTTTTCTATAAGAGTATATACATAGAAAATGACTACTATCGCAACTAACTGCTCCCAATTTTAATGGGCTGCCCTTGCCCGCATTCCTGTCTGCCCTCAAATTTTGCCCCAGTAATTCTTCAGTTCTCTGACCAAATGTGAAAACCAGTGGTCTCAAGCCTTTTCTGCACGTTAAATTTATCTGAAGAATTAAAAAAAAAAAAGACCAGGCCACAGTCTGCACCCCAGAACAAGTATATCGACACCTGTACGAGTGTCACAGCCGATTTTCACGTGTGTGCAGCACAACGGGCCACGGGTCGCTGCTCTGAGGGCTGTTCAGGGGGCCCTGAGTTACCTGGCTGCATCTCTGCCTCTACCTGCCTAGCACCTCCCACGCCCTCCCAGGTGTCCCCAAACAATGTGTCAACCAACAATGTCCCCAAACATTGCCAAATGCCTAGGCACCACACACCCACGGTTCTAGGGTGGGTGTCGTGGCTGCAACAGGGCTGTGCACTGAATAAGAGAACAGTCTCGGTCAGTATGAGGAACGTGTTCCCAGCCAGCAGAGCTACGTGACATTAGAATGCACCGTTTTCCGGGGAGGGGGCGGGCTCTTGTATCAGCCAGCCGGGCTGGCCATGATGAAACACCCCCTCGTGGTCCCTCGCACAACAAAGATTTATCTTCTTACAGTTCTGGGGGCTGAAGTTCAGGTGCAGGCAGGGGGGCTTTCTCCTGAGACCTCCCTCCTCGGCCTGCAGACGGGGGCCTGCCCTGTGTGTGCGCACGTCCCCCAAGTCCCTCTCTCTCTGTGTCCGAATCTCTTCTCACTGGGACGCCCATCCTGTTGGACTAGGAATGACTCACAGGACCTTGTTTAACCTCAGTCACCTCTGTAAAGGCCTGGTCTCCAAACACAACCACATTCTGAGGCACTGGCTGGTTAGGACTTCAACATAAGAACTGGGGGGGTGGGGGCCGAAAGGAGCACAATTCAACCCGTAACACCTGTCGGTGTGAAGCAATGGCCTGAGAGTCTCCCACTCCGGATACTGCAGGGCTGCTTTGTTCTCATCTGTCCACGGGCGGATGGACCACGAGTCTGGACACCTGACAGGTGAGAGACTCTGAGATTCTGGGGGGAGGCAGAGTAAGTCCCAGCCGGAGGAGACAGTGAGCAGCCTGACGGGCAGTGTGCCCGGCCTCGCCAGCCACCCTGAAGTCCCGCGGGCTGCCAGCCCCGAGCCTGATGTGCGCTCTCTCCCCCCTTCCAGGTGCGGGCCTCGTGACCCTGTTCCACAGGTACCCGGAGTACGAGTGCGTCAAGAGGGGAGGGACCTGCAACTTCTCCCCCTGCCCACGCTTCACCAGGATCCAGGGCTCCTGCTACCAGGGGAGGGCCAAGTGCTGCGTGTGAGCAGGGCCTCGTGGGCGCCTGCCTGTGCCATCTGTGAGCGTTCTGTTAGTAAAAGAAAAGGCCCCCCTTTTTTAAACATCCCTCCTTCGGACCAAAATGAATCTTGTGTCTCCTTTTGGAAGAGGTCAGGAGAGCAGGGGGATTGGCAGTGAGACTGGCCAGGCCGCAAAGCCCGAGAGCTCAGGACCGGGGGTGCTCTCCTCATCTCCTCCTCCACGTTTCATTACCAAACCAACACACAGGGTGATTCGGGGAGTCCACACACCATCAAGAATGCGTGACAAGGGGACAGATGACACCGTGTCAGGCCCCGTTGGGTCGGGCAGGAGCTCGCCCCAAATTCAGAGCTCACAGTGACCTGGTCCCTCTGCAGAGCTAGAACCGCCACCTGCCTCCTTCCTGGGCCGGGGGCCGTGGGTTGGTCAAGGTTGGCATCTGAGAACTTCCAGTCTGGCCATAAAATGATTCCTCCTCAGTTTTACTCTCTAGGCCTAACGTCTGGGCTCCCGGACGATGATTTCTGACTCTTCCGCGACTCTCCCGCAGTCCCTTAACCTAGTTTCAGGTCTCTTAAGAGGCCCTGCTGTGACCCCCGCCCCACCCACCCCGACATGGCAGGCCTGCAGCGCACCTGCGCCTGTGTCCACCTGTTGGTGGAGAGACAGGTCGCCTCCCCTTTCTCCCAATAAATGTTCTGCAGCTGATGGAGTATCGTTGTCTCTGATCAGCAACGGGCCCGTCGTTCCCACGTCAGGAACACGGTGGTAGGGGATCGACAGCGCCATTCCCAGGAACAGGCTCAGAACCAGAAAGACCAGAGGACTCCTGCAGCCCTTCCCGTCCCGGTGACAGGTGGCCCAGAGCTCCCGTCTCTCCCAGGGCTCGGGGGCCTTCCTCCCCGCAAGCTTTACAGGGAGGGCAGCAGACGTGTCTGTTGCCTTCTCTGGCCCCACCCCCGCCCCTCACCCTCTGTCCTCCACCCCAAGCTCAAGCTCAGGGAGCCCCGGCCCTGCCTGGCCCCAACGTCCCAGGACTAAGGCCCTTACCCCTCTCACTTGGTCCCCTCAGCAACAGCCACCCCACTTCTCCCCGAGGATGGCCTCCGATCATTTGACAATCGACTGTCCCCAGGACATACCCCGCCCCCCAGTCACCACCACCACACTCTGTGTCAGCCTGAAACACAAAGGTGTCGCCTGGCCCCTGGGGGGGGGGGGGCTTGGCTTGGAAACAAAGGACCTAACATAGAGCTGTCCTCCGCCCACTACACTCCTGCGTGGGCACAAGACCCTGGCCCACGGCTGCTACGACAGCACCTGCTTAGTGGAGGAGAGAGCGTGAGCAGGCCTGGGGCGCTGGGAGTCTCCCACAGGCCCTGGGAGACCGTGACCCTCCTTAGGGTGTCACTGGATCCCCCACCTGCCAGTCCCTACACACGCTGACTGCCTTGCGTGGGAAACAGGTCCCTAGAGTGGACGGGTTCTGCCAGGCTGCCCTTGGCAGGCGTCTGCCCCTGCCCCAGGATGCCTGACTTCTCGGTGCCGGAGTAGACAGCCCGGCTTACGGCCTGCAGAAACCGGACGTACCCGGCTATTTGGTCGGATGTTACTTGAACGCCAACCCTAATGACCTGTGGGGGGCGCTGCCATCTCTACAGCGTCTGATGAAGCAGTGGCCTAAACCTTCCCCTCCTCCCGCCTCCTGCCTCCCCACCATGTGGCCTCTCCCCAGGGACCTGGGAATGTAGTGAACAGGCTTCCGGGGCCTCTCCTCCATGTCCTTGAGGACACACCTGGCTGACCATCTCAGGGAGGAACCCAGAACACCAGGCGATAAGAAGGGCAGTGTAGCGGCAGGTGACCGGGCCCTTCGGAGACGCCCCCTGCAACCTGGCTGGCTGAGGGGCTGCCCGGGGCTTCATTGTCACGAAGGCTGGTGTACCCGCTGACCCCCTGCGTCCCCGGCACAGCTGGGCTGCCACTGAGGTTCTGCCAGCACCTCCCCCCCACCAGATTGTGGGTCTGGTCCCCCCAGAAGAGCAAGGTCCCACCTGCATCCAGCCCTGACTCCCGCCCACCCAGTGAGGAGACAGGCGGCACAAGTAAACGGAACTATTGCAAACCTCCACTGGGGGGAGGAATGTAGATGGGTGCCCCCCATGGCCCCGAAGCACATGGGGGGTGGGGGACGGGGCAGGTGCCACTTGGCTCCTGCACAGATGAGAGCTGGTGGCACAAAATGGGGCCTCGTGGACCCCCAATGAAATAGTTCGTTTGACCCAATGTGATTTGAAACCGAGACTTTTTATATTTAATTATTTTATTGTTGTTCAGGTACAGTTGCCTGCATTTTCCCCCATGACTTCCCCTCCCCCACCCCAGCACGCCCACCTCCCTCCCCTGATCTCACCCCCTCTTGGTTTTGTCCCTGTGTCCTTTGCAGTTGTTCCTGAAAACCCTTCCTCCTCTCCCCACCCCACTTATCCCCTCCCACCTCCCCTCTGGTCACTGTCAGATTGTTCTTAATTTCGATGTCTCTGGCTATATTTCACTTGCTTGTTTGTTTTGCTGATTAGGTTTCTATTATAGGTGAGATCATGTGGTATTTGTCTTTCACCGCCTGGCTTATTTCACTCAGCATAATGCTCTCCAGTTCCATCCACACTGTCGCAAAGGGTGGGAGAAACCGAGACTTAAAGCTTGTGATAGAAAATTGACCACAGAAAGCGTGACTGTGCCCGGTCCACCTGACAGCCGGTCTTGCCTGCTCTGAACCTGCAAAAGCTGCAGGCACCTCCGGGGGGTTAGCACGACCTTCACACTGTGGTTCCAGACGTCGGGGCCCCAGTCACCAATGCTACCAAATCACTCATTCTGCTCAGTCCGTGCCCGGTGGATACTGTGCTCTCCTGGACTGGGCGAACCCACTCTGTTTGGCGCCCGTGTCAAAGGCCTCTTGTCAGTGGTTCCCCTTCTCCAGCCTCCTCACGGGGCCTCAGCAGTTCCGCCGTCCCTCCTGGTCCTTGCAGGTGACATCTTTGCTGCCCCAGCGTTGCTCCAGGAGCACAGCTGTGAGACCACCTGGGTGACATCCTGCTCCAAGGACAGTCACCAGACACTTACTAAGGACACGTGAATCTAACGTCTTTTGGTCCATCTGGGGTTCTGGTGGCCACGAACCTCATTTCCCACTTTACTGCCCAGTTAAAATCGGCAGTCACTCCCCATGGCACCTCGGAGAGGCCGCCCCTGCAGAGGCCTCGGGACCTCTTTTCAGGCCCTCGGGCCTTTCTGGGCCACTGCGGACGGCCACTGGTTGCCCAGGGGCTCCTCCTACTGCCCCTGCCGCTGTCTGCCTTGGGCCACACACCGTTAAAACCACAAGTGACTGGCCACCTGCAGGGCGCCGCTGGCTTCGGGTGCTCACAGCCCCTGAGCCTGTGGCCCTTCACGCCCAGCTGCCCACTGCTCTGTCCATCACAGAAACAGGCACTGTCACTGTGGGCACCCCCGTGCTCACGCTGGGGACACACGCTGAACCGAACTGTCCTGGCGTCTGCAACGTCCTCTCAAACGGCTAGACGCAAAGATAGGCGGCGAAGCCATGGCAGCCGGTGCATCCGGGGGAGCGTGCATGAGGCTGCTGCGGTTGCATGAACAGGGAGGTCCACGTTCCACATGAACGCTGCACATGGAAGTCGGGGGCGGAAACGTCTAAGAACCAAGTACGCGCACGAGAGAGGATTCAAAGGAAAGGAAAAGTTGCACTACAATTCTCTACTCTCTAAACCAGAGCATCACCAGTTTGGTCCCCAGTCAGGGCACACGCCTGGGTTGCAGGCCAGGTCCCCAGTAGGGGGCGTGTGAGAGGCAAGCACTCACTGATGTTTCTCTCCCTCTCTGCTTCCCTTCCCCTCTCTAAAAAACAAATAAATAAAATCCTCTACTCTTACATTTGCTCTGTAATGATCGCTATAAATCATGGTGCTTTCCTTCCCCCTCAACAAGGGGTCTTAGCCTCCGCCCCTGGCAACACAGTGACCCCTGGTGCAGGCCCCTCAGGCTCAGGCTCGGGCTTGGGCTCCACTGGTCCCCACTGGGAAGACCAGGATGGTTTAGGGAAAGAGCAGAGTCCAGGTCTGAACCAGGACACGTACAGATGGTACCTCCTGGTGCTGGACAGGAGGAAAGTGAAAACGGATGGGTCTGAAGAATGCGGCTCCAAACCAGAGGGGACCCAGGGGGCAAGGACGGAGCGTCTGCCATCATGGCAGAGAGCAGTGGCCCCGGTTGATTGAAACGTTAAACATCTAACAGTCCCTGAGTTCACAGCAGCATGTAAACAACAAAACTGCCTGTAGCTGGAATTCTGGGGGCAGCAATGTATCCCTCTGGACACTAGGAAACAGAAACAATGAAGCCCTTATTCTGCCTTGCTGGTCCAAACGGTAGTTTCCCATCAATAGTAGTTATATGAAGGAAATACCTTCTTCATAGAAAATCTCCAGCTAATGAAGAAGCAAGGAAGATAGGTAGAAAGCCACCCTTTTGCCTCCCTGAATGAAACCACAGGTGTGAATCATCTATCGGTGGATTTAAAACCCCCCATGAAAAGCGTGGTGGGCATTTGATGACTGAGGGGGAGGCTGCCACCAGCTGAGCTCGGCGACCACGCTTGTCCTTCACTAAGAGAGAGAGAGACAGATGTCCACGGGCCTCCTGTAGTGGCGTGGTAGGAGGTACCCAGCGTCACCTATGGAGTACTCTGGCCAAAAGCCGTTGAACCTGAACTTGATCGAGTCTGTAGATCTAAGGATCCCTTTGCAAGAAACACAGGGAGTTGGAGAGACAAGAAAAGCAGCATCTGTCGGACCCAGAACATGAGCCGCAGGGCCAGTGACCTGGAGTCTCCCGGCGTCCAGCAGCAAGAGGGACGCGGCAGGGCACTGTTACGGAAGAAGACAGAAAGGGGACCAGGCAGCCCTGCAGGCCTGGTTTGCATCCTGTGCTGGAGAGACCGATTGCAGAAAGAAATGTTTGTTTGTTTTATTATTTTTTTTTATTTAGTTATTTTTCAAGTACAGTTTTTTGGTCTATTTCTCCCATCCCAGCCCCACCCCCGCCCTGTGCTCCCACCTCCCTCCCATTTCCACCCCCTTAGTTTTCGTCCCAGAAAGAAATGTTTGAGACGGTCCGATAAGCTTAATATGGACTGGGCAGCAGCAGACATGTGCTGTGGATTCCAGTGGGTGTGACCGTGGGCGGTGGGGCAGGTGTTGGGAGAGAAACGACCCCTTCGGTCACAGTTGCCTGTGAAGGGTTGAGACCTAATGTGACATGTTGTCTTGTCTACTAAGCTGATCGGTGACCGAGAACTCGGAGCACCCCCGTTGTGACAGCGGCTCCAAGCACACTATCTTCCGAACCACTGCAGGCTCTGGCCTCTTGGCCCCTGACCCAGACTGCAGGCCTTAGTCACTGTCACCTCCCTGAGCTTCCCCCTCACTGCCACACAGTGACTCCACTCATTGGTGTGTGTTCCCTGACTGGCAGGAGCATGGGCTCAGGAAGGGCCAACCCGCTGGGAGCCGAGAGGGCCACTCCCCTTGCCTAGCAGCACAGGTCGTGCACCCTGTGGGCGGGACAGAGGGCAGCTGCCAGCATCAGAGTTCAAGTTTGGTGCTTGGTGACTGGCCCGCCACTCT